GCGAGCCAGGCTGCCTGCAGAGCCGCAGCGGGGGTAGGTCCTGGACCTGGCGTGAGCCGGGACTGAGCAGGCCTTCCCTGATCCACTAATCGTGTAGTGGATAAAAATTGTATTGACTACGTGATTAGTGAATTACCCGCCTCTTAACAGCCTTTGTTTAATTCAGAGCTGATTCTGAGAACCTAGTCCCAGGTGTTGAACTCTGTAAGGGTACGTCTACGCTAGCTTGTTAGTTCGAGCAAGGTAGGGTAATGAGGGCAAGCGGAGTTGCAAATGAAGCCTGGGATTTAAATATCCTGGGCTTCATTTGCATGTTCCCAGGCACCGCCATTTTTAAATCCCCCTTAGTCCGAACTCCGTGCCCGCAGCTACACGCAGCACGGAGTAGGTAGTTCGAATTAAAGATCCTAATTCCAACTACCGTTACTCCTCGTGGAATGAAGGAGCAATGAAACTGGATGTGCTCTCTTCTCTTCTGCCAAGCCAGCCCCAAAGATTTTCTTCGGTCTTGCCTAGCTCTGTGCGGGGACTGGAGTCTCGGTATCCCAGTTACTGGGGGAATTGGGAACTGGTTAAATGAGGCTGGACCAACACCAGTTTAGCGGCGCAGGTAAAAACCAGTGGGGATTTCTAGACAGAAGTGACCTGTCGGCCAAACCCCGTGTGTGGGCTGGAGGAAGAGAGTGTGCGGGTGGTAATTTTTATTCAGACCGTTTTAAAAAAAAAAACCCAACAAAAAAACCAACCCAGGGATTTTGAAACACTTACTCAACAAACACTTGGGAGGCAAACACACCCTGTCAATTGAGGAGGAAAAAGAGGAGAGACACCCCCCCCTTCCCCGCAGCAAACACTTAAGTCATTTAGGAAATTCTCCAGCAAAAGAACCAAACCAGTTGTCTTTATTTTTTAAGGCACAAATAAGCCACTTCCAGAGAGGCCGGCCAGACTTCTTTTCTAGTTCAGGACACAGCTAAGGCCCAGCCTGTATGCAAGGCTGAATTAGTTGAATTTTAATTTGATTTAAAATACTGATTTAGCGAAACAGTGAAGACCCCCTTAATCAGCGTTGCCAGCTGCAACTGTTTAAAAATCATGAGATCAGGTTAAAAATCCTGAGGCTTAAAGTGTGTCTGGAAGGGTTATGTTTTTAAGCTTCCTTTTTTGACGGCTGCTGCATCTTGAGTGGAGGTTTTCCAAGAACTATCCACAGTGACTCCAAGATCTCGCTGAGCTAATTGAGTTCCCCATCGCTTTATATGTCTAGTGGGGAGGATGTTTTCCAAAGTGTGTCACTTTGCCTTTGTCAACAATGAATTGCCTCTGCCATTGTGTTGCCCAGTTGGTGAGACCCCGTCTGAAGCGTTGGACTGGAGCAGTTTTGTATCTGCAGCAAATGTAGCTGCCTCGTTGTTTATCACGTATGAATGTGTTGAATAGGACTTGGTCCCAGCACAGGAAACGCACTCGTCACCTCTCGCCAGCCTGTTTATTCCTTCCCTTCGGGTCTCCTGTTCTAATCAGCCCACGAGAGGGCCGTCCCTCTTCTCCACTTCCTTGGCCTCAGAACCCTGAATGACCAATCTCCCAGAGGGCAGGATCAATGGGGAGGAGGGAGATAGGGCCGTGATGTCTCTGGCATGGGGCGGCGAACGGCCCACCCAGCTGTGGGACTGAGCAGGGGGAAAACGGGGGCTCTGCTGTAGGGGAAGGGGGTACAGAATCTCTGCTGGGGGAGATTCGGGGACTGTGGAGGGCAGGAAGGAAGGGGGGGGGGCTGTAATAAGTGCAGGCACCTGTCACTCGGATCTGACTCCTCTAACTGCGGGTCTGTTTGGTTTTGTCTGGACAGATGATTCCCTCTGGGCTCTGGCTGTAGGATGTTGGAGAATCAAGAGCAAGAAGTAAGGTGCTCGGGAGTTTCTTCCGTCTTCTGTTCTGGCTGGGGGGGGCTGGCAGGTTGGGGGACACAGGGAGCCTTTGAAGTCTGTCAAAGATTGAATCGTAGTGGTGAGTGCGTTAGCGCTCGCTAAGCTGGTGCTACGCGTACGGGGAAGAGGAGGGGATCCCTTGGCTGGTAAGCAGGGCTTGTGGGGGTACTGTTGGGGTGCGCAGGGCAGGAGTGGTCTGCATAACATAGCTCCTGCAGTGTGAGCCTTTAAGAGTAGGAGGGGGATGGGAGATCTCTAATTTGGGGAACCCCAGGTCGAATGAAGCTCAGAGTGATTTGGACCCTTTACCCTTCCGAATCCGGTGCTCCCAAAATTGTGTACCCAACTTCTCCAGGGCCTTGTCTATGCTGCCCTGGTATAGGTGCTGCGGGCTCATCTCTCGGGGCTTGATTTAGTGGGTCTAGCAAAGACCTGCTAAATTGAGCACTGATTGCGCTCCTGTGGACTCTGGTCTGCCACTGGGTGGAGAAGAATAAGGGGAGTTGGGGGGGGAAGGGAGGAGTTTCTCTTGTGGTAACTCGACTGCAGAGACCCTACTTGTGTAGCTAGCTGGACGTTGCCCCCTTGTGTGGACCTGGCCCAAGGCAGCAGCATTGGCCCGAAGGTGCCGCTCTGCTGGGTGCTGTGCGTGGCTGTTGGCAGCATCTCCGTGGAGTGAGGCCTCGCGTCTCTGCCCTCAGGAGCTGACCACGGTGCGTGTTCAGGACCCTCGGATCCAGAACGAAGGCTCCTGGAATTCCTACGTGGATTACAAGATCTTCCTGCACGTAAGCACCGCGCGGCCGTGACGCCGACTCTGCCCCGTGACAGCCGCCCTCCAGCCGGTTCAAATCCCAGCGCGCCCCACTCGGCCTCTCCTTGCTTGGAGCCCGATGCAGCCGGCGCTGGGGGAGGGTGTCGCATGGGGCCTCGGAGGTGGGAGGGCCCTGTCTGCGACGAGGTTAACGATCCCACGGAACGGATCCTTGGCCGAAATCCCGTTTTGTCGTTAACACCGTTTGATCCCCTACCGCTGCAGAGGCGGCTGCGTTGCGCTTGCTTGGCTCTGGGCCGTTAGCTCTGCTTTACCTAGCCGATCCTTCGGTCATTTCCCGGAGGGAAGCCGCCTCTGCGGGCATCTGTCTGGTCATCACAAGTGATTACATGGCAGTAGGGGAGGTTCAGGTTGGTCATTAGGAAAAACTTCCTGGCGGGGGAGGTTAAATGCTGGAATAAATTGCCTAGGGGGTTTGGCCCTACAAGAAGCCGCCTCTGACCTTTCCCCTCCTCTCGCGTCTCCTTTCACAGACCAACAGCAAAGCCTTCACGGCCAAGACGTCGTGTGTGCGCAGACGATACCGCGAGTTCGTGTGGCTGAGGAAGCAGCTCCAGAAAAACGCTGGCTTAGTGTAAGGGGGTGAAATTCCTCCTTGGCCCCCTGCGCCCTGATCCCAGCGTCCCCTAAGCCGCCTCTGACCTTTCCCCTCCTCTCGCGTCTCCTTTCACAGACCAACAGCAAAGCCTTCACGGCCAAGACGTCGTGTGTGCGCAGACGATACCGCGAGTTCGTGTGGCTGAGGAAGCAGCTCCAGAAAAACGCTGGCTTAGTGTAAGGGGGTGAAATTCCTCCTTGGCCCCCTGCGCCCTGATCCCAGCGTCCCCTGAGCCCAGCGGGGAGGGGCTCCTGGCCCCCCGGAGGAAGCCGTGTAGGCAGAGGAGAGAGCTGGGGCTGTACAAACGGGCCCGTAAGACTTGGGATGGGTGGGGGCAGTCCGTGGGGTGGGGAAAGTCTGGTGGCCCGGGGGCCAGTCCTGCGGGGCTGGAGTGAGCAGGTGCCCAACACCAATGTAGCTGCCTTGAGCGCCGCACCTGAAGCGCTCGCCTCCTTGGAGACTGCCCTCTCCTTCCCCCGGGTGTATCCTGCCTGCTGGAGCCGGGCTCGGACAGGCGACTAGCGCTGGGCCCGGGGGATCCCCCCTCTCCGAGGGGCGGCGCTGGGTGAAAACGCTCGGCTGGTTGCATGAGCCTGGTCCCCTCATGCCGCGATGTGGGCCCTGCGGGTACCGAGCTGTGTCCTTTCTCTGCTCCCGCAGGCCCGTCCCGGAGCTGCCCGGGAAGTCGACCCTCTTCGCCGGCAGCACGGATGAGTTCATTGAAGGCCGGGCTCGTTAAGCAGCTGCAGGGCCGTGCAGCCACGCAGCTTAGCCCACGTTGCTCTTCCAGAGACACCAGCTGGAGGACAGGCCGGGAGGGCCTCTCCTAGCTCTCTTCCCCCACTCCAGCTGACCGTCAGGGGGAAGGGGCTTCTCCAGCTCTGCTTCCCCGCAGGACAGGAGCCTGCCTCCAGTGCCGGGCGTGTGGGGCAGCTGGGGAGGAGCGTTAGCACCAGGGAGCCTGGAGCCATAAGAGCGTCCAGACTGGCTCAGACCAAAGGTCCATCCAGCCCAGTGTCCTGTCGGCCCACAGTGGCCAATGCCAGGTGCCCCGGAGGGAGTGAACAGAACAGGGAACCATCCCGTGATCCCTCCCGTCGCCCATTCCCAGCCCTTGACAGACAAAGTCTCGGGACACCCTCCCTGCCCATCCTGGCTAACAGCCATTATGGACCTATTCTCTATGAACTTACCTGGTTCTTTTTTGGACCCTGTTGAAATCCTGGTCTTCACGCCCTCCTCTAGCAAGGAGTTCCACAGGTTAACAGTGCGCTGCAGGAAGAAACACTTCCTTTCGTTTGTTAATGTGCTACCCATTCGTTTCCTTGGCCGACCCCTAGTTCTGGTGTTATGGGAACAAGTCAATCACTTTCCCTTATTCACTTTTTCCTGACGTCCATCCTGTCCCCCCTGAGTCTCCTCTTAGGGTGGAGGTCTCAAAGGTCCAGAAGGGGTAACGCTGGTGGGGGGTGGGGCGGGGGGGATGGAAATGCTCCGGATCATTTTTAGCAGGGCCCTTCCCTGCCCGTGTTGTGTCCCAGCCCTGGGGCTCTGGCCCGTTCTGCAGTGACCCCTCCCTGCCTGTCTCTCTCCAGGGTGGTGCAGAACGTGGTTCTCCTGTCCGACAGCCAGTTGCATCTCTTCCTGCAGAGCCAGCTGCCGGTGCCCGAGATCGAGGCGTGCGTGCAGGGCCGGAGCCCCCTGACCGTCACGGAGGCCATCCTCCGCTACGCCATGTCCAACTGCGGCTGGGTGCAGGAGGAAGACCCCCGCCCTGCTCTCATGGCCGGGGCAGGACTCTCAACGTGGTTCTCCTGTCCGACAGCCAGTTGCATCTCTTCCTGCAGAGCCAGCTGCCGGTGCCCGAGATCGAGGCGTGCGTGCAGGGCCGGAGCCCCCTGACCGTCACGGAGGCCATCCTCCGCTACGCCATGTCCAACTGCGGCTGGGTGCAGGAGGAAGACCCCCGCCCTGCTCTCATGGCCGGGGCAGGACTCTCACACGGAGGCCATCCTCCGCTACGCCATGTCCAACTGCGGCTGGGTGCAGGAGGAAGACCCCCGCCCTGCTCTCATGGCCGGGGCAGGACTC